CTAACATAAAGACCCTAACCACGGTCCCATCCTCTGGCCTCTAGTTCGGTGGTTTAGTGTACACAGATTTGACCAAACTTAATCAGTTTCTGTTCTTGGATGTAAAACTCTAAAATTAGTAAAATGATTGCTGGTTGCTAACTTTTCCAAATTTAGTTTTTTTTTTAATTAATAAGATGGTTTTCCAACTTATATTTGCAACTTGCTGAACTCTGTTTACAGACTTTGGATACTTTCCTCTTTAAGATTTGAACTTGAAGTTATTATACTTTGGGGGGATTTTCGATGGATTTTGATCTAAAACCTTAAAAAAGGCGTTTGTAAAAGAACATCCCAGGTTTTAAATTGATTGGCTAGCTTGGGCCCAGATAGTTACACAACATATAATGTTTCTATGTCAATTATAGGAACACATATTAATAGCTGTTCATTTTTATTTATTTATCTATCTATCTATCTATCTATCTATCAGTTTAAATCAAGAGAGTTACACCAAGTTGAAAAAGATTAGGGAATTAAATTAACAATTGTCCTTCATTCATGAAGAACCTGATTGAGCTATTACCCAATGGAAGGACTCTTGATCTCGCAAACTTGAGAGCTGAACTGCATCTACCGACTTGAATGGCTTCACAGTTACCTGATGACTGTATAATCTGTATCATCTGCATGATTGTGGTAGCATATCTAGTTACTTCTCATAATCTGACCCAGAGAGAGCATGTAGATTTTAAATAGGAGGTGCTCCAAGATGGACCCTTGGGGAACCCCGCATGTGATTGATGTGAACCATGATGTAAAATGACCGACTGACACAAAAAGTCCCTGTCCTTAAAGACTCACACCAGTCAAGTACTGGGCCAGAGAGTCCAACCCAGCTCTCCAGTCGCATCAAAGTCAGTAGTTTCAAATGTTGCGCTGAGGATCAAAAATACCAGAACCGTGTCCTGCACAACCTCAGTCACATGAAATAAGTCTAGATTTTGCTATGATTTTTATTTTTGTTTTCTTGGGATTTGGTTGCATTCATGACTGACTGACTGACTTACCTGACTGAAAGACGTTAAAGGAACTGGTCATTGTTAAGAAGGTATTTAACTGTTGAAATGCAGCTTCTTCAATAACCTTATTGGTGAATGACCTGTAATTCTTTAGCAACTTGTCCAGATTGTCCTTTTTCAACGATAATTGCTATTTTTAAGGTGTGGGTTAGAGGTAAACACATGGGAACCACATTAATTTACATATTTTATCTCTGTTAGGATCTGAGGTTGTTTAATTTTTTTTTGCTGGGGGGAGGTTGTCATATTTTGTGTTCCTTCATTTTTTTTCTATTAGTTCTGCCTTGTTTCCATTTCAGTTCTTCCTTAGTTTATTTCTTGTTTCAAGTTAATATTTGTCACTCTAGTTTGATGAGAGTGTTAGTGTTAGATTCACTCCCTCGCCCCATGTGCCACCTTCTCTCTCCCCAGTCTGCCGCTTACTCCCTTCACTCACACCTGCAACCCATCAGCAATCAGCTCAGTTCCTTTGTTCCAACGTTCAACCTCCCAGTATTTAAGCACCTTATCTCAGTCACTCCTCGTTGCATCATCTGGTCTACTCCCGTCACTTCCCCGTTGTGCTCAGTGGGAGTTTTTTTTTTTTTTTTTTTTTAATTTTTCTTCCTGTTGGTTTCTTTC